GATATTTAGGGGAAAAAAACAAAAAACAAAAACAGGTGGCAAGCTTGAATCAACCCCTTCTTAACGGCATTCAACTGCAAATAACACACACCTAAAAGTTTTCTGATGTAAATGCTTCCTTTCTGGAAAGAATAATCAAGTTTGGCAAGTGTTGATTGGATAGAATGGGAAAAATGAAAGAAATGGACTGGCAATGGAACTTTCCAGAGTTTGAAACTAAAGTTTTCTGAAATCAATTGATTTTGAACAGGAGTACTTTGAGGATGCTTTCCTTTTTATTGATTTTGTGGTACTAAAATAAAAATTGAGTAACAAAAATAGAGATGATAGAAATTCAGTTACAAAATTTTATTACATTCAGAAGTGTAAAAAAAATTAAGGATTTACCCAAATTAATCAAGACGGTATTACCTGAGTCTAACCACAAAGTTTCTTTTGTTTTATTTGCGACTCTTCTTAGTATGAAACAACTTCTTTGATATTCCCAGCAAGTGTATCTCTCAAAAGTGTGCAGGTTCCAGAATAAGCAAATCTATAGAGACAGAAAAGATTTCTTGTTGGCTGGAGTTGGGGTGGATCTGGGTGGGGGTAGAAGGTAAGGTAGTCAGGAGTGACATGTAGACAGGGTTTCTTTTGAGGATGATGAAAACATTCTAAATTGTGGCAGTGGTTATACGGCTCTGTGAGTATACTAGAAACCATTGAATTGTATGCTTTAAAATGGGTGACTTGTATAGCATGTGAATTCTATCTCAATAAAAATGATAAAAAAAGATTTGGGGTTGAATCCATGACCTCAAATGAAAAATCAGATCTTAAAATAATTTTGAGAGGTTGATTGTACTCTTAAAAATACATTGGGAAATACATTAATTTCACATAATAATCATCAAGAAAGAATTTTAAGTACATGAAACCTGAAGATAAAAACTGGGTCTTTCTACCCAAAGTATGATTTTTTAAATACGCTTCCCATTTAAAGCAATCAATCTCATAATATCTAATAACATACATCAATAGGTCCTAGTACATCCCCCAAAACATGTTTTAATCTTCTTCTTCTGAAACATGTATACTTTATACACAGTTCAAAATAATTGTTTTCATTATTTGCACTGTACTAGATATGAGGATGTAATAGTCAATGCACTATTTTGTGTTTGAAAGCTTTTCCAGTGATTTTGTCTTTCACAATTGCTCCTTTGGTTTGCCATGCTCTTGGACTTGTAACTCACTGTTGCAAGTGTCACAAATAGCCCACTCCATTGCTTTCTTTAACACAACACAGTAAGTTTAAAAGGCAGTATCACATTAGACAAATATTGTAGTATTAGAGAATTCAATGAACTTGAAGAGAAAGTTAAGAAAATTTAAGTGAATAAATCAACAGGATAAGGCAAGGGGATATGTGTGTTTTAAATACTCTGTTAAGACTCAGTGAAAGAGAAAAAAATGTTTTGAACAAAGAGCAGAAGAAATACAAAAAGAGAAGAGCATGCCTTATGGTTTCATTTATATGAACTTCTAGAGCTGGCAAAAATAATCTAAAAATAATCTAAAATGATAGATATAAGATAATTGTTGCTTTGAGTTCGTGGGGGGTGACTACAAAGGAACAGGAGGACAGAAACGTTCTATATCTTCATTGACATGGGACTGCACAGGTGTGTATTATCTTCATTAAAACTGGTCAAACTCCTATGGTGAGTGCTGAGAAGTGTGTGAGCCTAATGATTCACAGACCTGCACCCCTGGGGCTAATAATACACTACATGTTAATTTTAAAAATTTAATTAAAACTTTTAAAAACTGGTCAAACTCTATATTTAAACATGTACATTTTATTATATGTAAGTCATACTTCATTACAGTAGATTTTTTAAAAGTCTAAGTAGTCAGCAAAGGGTGACCATTGTGTTTGAATGTGATCATCTTGTAATTCTGAATGAAAGATGACCTCCTTCCTTTTAAATATGAAATATCCATGCCATTCCAAAGAAGTACATTAAGCTCTGTTGTAATGTATTCCTTCTGCTCAGGATTAAGTACTGGCATGTTAATGATGACTCTTAGCCAGAGTAAGATAGGCATTTCTTTGATAGACATTCTACTTTACATGCCTGCTTTTCCCCTGTAATTTCAACTGGGGAGAAATAAAGCAGCAAACTTATCCATTACATCTTTAGAGGATTCTTATGACTTTTAAAGCACAATTTGGAACTGAAGCTACTGTTTTATGATATTCTTTCTCAGGGTAGGCTGAAAGCAAAGCAACAATAATTTTTGCAGGAAAAGTAAGATAAAATCTGTCTTGAAAAACCACAAAATCACCCTTAATGTCACTTTATAAATCAGTTATAAATAGCACCAAAAGTAATAGGACTGCACATGTGAAATTGAAAGACAGTGTATGCACTATTTTTGTAGAAGGGAATTACATAGTGTCTGCATTAGCACTTAAAGTTAGGCTGTGGCTATCGTTCTTTTCTATCTAGAGTCACTAGCCTACAAAGCAGAAAAATCTACCAAAGTCATGTGGAAATTTTAAAGATAACAGTTCAGTAAGATGGATAGAAATGGGAAATGACACAACATTGATAAAATATATCTCAAATATATGTATAGATACTGAAAGAAAAAGACTGAGCATGTATGGTAGATGCAAAAAAATTATCATAAAGAATGTCGTGGCTGTGAGGCAGAGGCAAAGCAAGTGAGGCTAAAGAGAGAGAAATTGAGAAAAGTTTTAATTTTGCCTAGGGAGTTCCAGACTTCTTCAAAATTAACTAAAATTTTAGAAATGTATATGAAAATGTTGGAAACACCAGAAAATATATTTTCAGTTGATAAGTCTAGAAGTAATTTTCTAAACTATAAGATTGATTTTTTTTTATAAAGGAGTAGAAGTGCTTCATTTTCTCTTAATCCTCCCCATAAGGGGTTGCGGAAATCTGCAATAAATGCTTCATGAATAAATGGCAAAATGACAATCGGAGCTCAGTGTTTTGACTGCAATCGTCATAGTTAACCACTAGAGGGCTGTAATTCCATTGGCAGCAGTTCTGTGACCACAAATGTTTTATTCCCTGCAAGGGTACTTCTACAATTAGGTGGGAGCTACAATATTAAGTATTAAGCAGGTAGAACAGCTCATTACTGTGTACTGAAATGATTTCATGCTTTCCTGCATTTCTATGTTTAATTTTTATTGTTCAGACTAATAACTTGGCCACCAGCTTCTTCAGCAAGCATGGAATCTCATCATTGCTCAAAGATTGTTATTAATTTTGTACCTCTGCTTCTTGAAATATACTAGATAGAACCACTTTTATATACTTTTTCATGAAGAAATTATTTGGTTTACTACAGATCCCCTAACATTTGATGAAAATAGAAATTTAATGTGATCATGTGTTCTCACATAATTATTTCATAAATCTTTGTATTATTTAGAGCTGTAAGAGAGACAAGAAAATGCCAGTACAAATTTATAATATTAAATGTATTTTCTGACATTTAGATGACTATAACAGCTTTTACCCATGCTGTTTTTTACTAATTTGAAGACAGAACTTTCTTTACTTTTATTTCTTTACTTTTTATTTGCTCTTTCATTAAGGAATGAAAAATACAACAATTTGCAACTATAATCTGTTGTCTTTTGAATGATTAAAAGGATAGTGACATTAAATTATTTAACTTGTGGCTTTAATATTTATTGCATAAGTATTTTATACTATGCTTCAGATATGTTAATTTATATTGATAAATTTATGAGCTAAAATATTTTAATGTCTTCAAATAATATAATTAACATTTCTTATGCATTTCTTATAACTCTAATGGTCTTTACATTATTTGATTTTATTTAATTGAACCAATGGAAGAATTAGTTTTGCAGGGGAGGCAAAATTTTTCCTCTACCCTGTTGGATTCTGTTCCTGAGAACCGCAAATTAAACTGACAAGCAAGAGATTAACAGGAGAAAAAGTTTTATTTCATATACATATGAGGCCAATAAAAAAAGCAGCTGGCTTGTTGAATGGTAAAGTTAAAGACTTCTATACCTAACTTAGTAGAGATAAGTGAGGAGTGAGGAACAAATTCTCTGGGAAAAACAAATAGGTTTCTTTAGGAAAGACAAATGGACTTTTAAGAGAACAGACAAGAGATAAATGCGTGATAGTGTTTGTCTATACAGGTACAGGTACAAGTGGTCTTTCCATCTTATACAGAGCCATGCAGTTCCATGAAGAGGGCATTTCTGGTAGCCTCACTCCCGAGAAATTGTAGCTTTTAGACAAATAAGGAAAGCTCAGAGGATGATTTTTTCTGCATCTGTTGAATCTCAAAATGTCTTCAACTTAAAATAAGCTGTATACCAACTCTGGGGTTCTGAGTGGGTTCCCACAGATTCATATTTTAAGAAAATCTGTGTATTTAAAAACTTTTGGTCAGGTTTTATGTGTTTTAGGGAACTTCTTACATTGGAAAAACATGTTAAGTATTAACACTGTTACAGCAAATTTCTTTTTCTTACAAAAATGTAGCTGGCTAATATTTGTATGAATCTTGTTTTCAAATCTCAAAATAAATACTGTCTATTGATACTTTTTAAATAATTGATACTGAAATGATGATTTTTCAAACTTGTCCTTCCAGCTTCTAGTATCATTTTCATACCTATGGGTAAATTACCATTTCACTAATTCTGGTCTGTAATGATTTTATGTGAAATAATGGTTTAACTTAATATTTAAATTATGATTTTGCTGGTTCATTTATAATACTTAACTGATGTTTAATTTTCTCTTTAAGCTGTTGTACTAATGTTCTGGTTTTTTTACAATAATTTTATGTAAATGAAATTGTCTTCTGGTGCTTATAGATATCAGCCTCATTATTTTTCAGTTATGCTTTATACATGAATAATGTAGTTATTCTAATTAGTACTTTACTTATAGAGTTCTCATTGCATTTTTCTAAATGTTTGTTTTCAGAGATATCATCCAATATCCATGAGCATCTATAGGCCAACTGTCACCATCCTTCAAAAATAATTGTAAGTATACCCATAAACATGCTACGTGACTCTCGTTTTGCAGCAATAGTCAACCATTATAGTTAGGGGAGTCTAATTATTTTGGTAATGTAGACCTATTTCTGAACTAGTAAAAAATTTCCATTAACGACTTATGATGTCTGAAAAAGAAAATTACTTAATTGGTACACAAAATGGGTTGGCCCAATGATGGGTATTAAGGAGGGCACATATTGCATGGAGCCCTGGGTGTTATACACAATGAATCATGAAACACTAAATTGAAAACTAATGATATACTGTATGCTAACATAACATAATAAAAAAAATGTTAATGCAACCTAAAAAAAACTCAGCCTATTTTATTACCAAATAATGTGTTAAGCAGACACATTTGCCGAAGTGTTTAATCACCACCCTGACTTTATACTAAGTAAATATCAAATAAGATGGCATAATAAGAACAGTTAGACTAATGAAGATAAAATATGAATGCATTTGAAATTTTCTCTTTCAGAAACAAACTCATATCTGAGATTAAGATATAGAAAATCCAGCTATTACTTTCTTATCACAAATTTTTGAAAGTGAAGTCCATAAAAATATTCTTGATGGATGGACCAGGAGTAGGAGGGGAGACTGAGAGCTTTGTTTCTCAAAAGGAGGTATCAAGTTGTAAATGCCAAAAAACACTGACCTAGAGAATGGACCACTCTGCATACTATAGGTTTCCTAAGCATGTTATTACCAGTTAAGCAGAGTAGGTCAAAATTAGATCCCTTATTTGAAGCTCCAGACTGCACAGGGAATTCTTGAATAAATTTCTGATTGTTCCTGAAGTCATAAACATGCATTCAACTCTACAAACTGTTTTCAGAATGATGGTGTTGGAGGAAGAATTGATCATAGAGGTTAACTTGCTTATACAATCATATTTTAACAGACTTTTTTAGAATAAAATTAATATATACTCATTAATACAAATACTCATACTAATATTAATATTATTAATAATTCATACTAATATTAATAACTCATACTGATATTAATACAAATATTAATATAATATTAATACAAATACTCATACTCATATTAATACAAATACTCAATAATACAAAATGAAGTCGAAGTCTATCCAAATTGGAGACAGGTTAAGGATGGAATAGGGTTGGGAATGTCTGCTGAACATATTATTACTGATCAAAAAATAAAAGAAGAAAACAGGGATTGTATGCCCAGACAGTGGCATCAAAATAGCTGAATTAAAATGTACCATAGTCAGAATGGTCAACATCAAAGTGTCCTGTTTTGTAATTTGATGACTCACCATTTAAGATGGTGACAAAGGTTATGCTTCCTTTGTTTAATATATATTAAAAAAATTATTGATGTTATAGGCAGATTTCCATAAAGGAAATATGAAATTCAAAAAGTGTAAAATGTAAAATCTTCAAGAGCCCCAGCAGCTGTTCTAAGAGTGCACAGGAAGTCACTCATTATACTTTTGTGAAGATCCAAGTTTTCCCACAGGTGTTTTCACTGTGTTGGTGAAATAAGTTAACGTGGATATGCAGGTAAGTTTACATTCTCAAGCTTCATATGGTGCTCGCTCACACAAAGGCCACAAGGTAGTAATGGCCCTACAAGGTAATAAAGACCAAGGTCAGCCTTAGAAGAATGTGACATAAGCCAATTGCATCTTTAGTATCTCCCTTTCAGCGTTGTTCTATCCTTCCCGTATTGTCTCCATAATGAGTGCTCCCTTTTCTTCCCCAAGGCCCCTACACCCTTGGTACACAGGCCTGTTGACATCTTATTCTTATCCAGCTGTTAATTGGAAAAGATTTGATACAAAAATTCATCCAAGGGTCAGAGAGAGGGCCATTTTGACATTGAAAATGTGACTCCAACAATTGAATTCCTTGATTGGTCAAAAGCGAATACATGCCCCACATCTCATTACGCAGGTCTGTATGCTTGTTGCCTACTTCACTTCTCCAAAAGGCTGACCTCATCAGGGCACGTTGGTGACATAAAAATGGTTGTGCAACACACTTAATTATACTTAATATAAAGTTAGAATCTGGTTATTTATCATAAATAGTTTTGATTATGTTACTAAATATGTTTATTCTCATTGTACATAAAAGAGTATGAAGAGTTTTAATATATATACAACCACAATCTCATATTCTTTGAGTTTTTGAAATGTGGGTCCCTGGTGATTTCTGTGACTATTTTAAGCTAAATAAGATTCAATCGATGTTTAAAAATAAAAGTCAGTTGACCTGATTTATCTCTAGCTATCATTCAAACTTAGTAACACCTTCCCAAAGCCCTACTTAATGCTACCTATGCTACTGTGATATGTAATATATATCACATATATATGTAATATGTATCACCATTAAGGTAATAATTCACATAATGTATTCAATGTCTCCTGTGAAAAATGATCAGTTGGACAACTGTGCTCCTCCTGAGCTGGATAAGGTTAGTAATATTAGTAAGTATTAAAGGTAAATATTATCTTTTTTTCTGTAAAACTATATCAGCATTTAAAGTTTCTTCACAGGAAGGGCTCATGTAAATGAAGAAATAATGTATGTATGTTGGTCCTACAACATCATGACAGGATTATACTTGTCACTTTTTTGACACTTTTATTAACAATTTGAGGATTTTATTTTTTAAACTTTTAATTATGTGAATTTGTGTTGCTATAAATAAATGCAAGTTTGCTTAACAGAACTTTTTTTAATGTGCATTCTCTGATATATAACTATTACTATAAAGTTCTTTAGGTTATCAAATTATTTTAATGAAAACATAGACTATAACAAAAATCAAATATTATCTACGTGATAAACAATGCCATTATTTCACTTTGAAGTAGCTTTTGTTTTATTCACAGATATTTTATTTCTTGGATTTGATAAAATAATTAAATACATTCTATTGCTCTTCAACTCTTCATCTGCTTAAAGTATATAATACCTAATCAAAACTCATGAAAGGGATACAGAATTGAGTATTAAAATGTTGTGTTCCCTGCTTTTTATATCACCTATAGGAACCAACATAGTGTTTTGCATATAATATGTATTTAATGATGTATTCAATAATTAGCTCAATAATATCTATTGAGCTAGTAATGATAAAATTACAGTGCCTTGGGAAAATAGGCATATTTCAGTAAATGAATGTGTGTGTGTGTGTGTGTGTGTGTGTGCATATTTAAAGCATAGGAAAACCAAAGCATTTATAAGATAATTCCATATTCTTCACAATTTTCACTTATATTACTATTCTAAAAATTAAGATGTGGGGTGTGTATGTGGGTGTGTGTGCATGCGTGTGTGTGTGTGTGTGTGTGTGTGTGTGTGTGTGTGTGTTTAAGAATATTACTCAGCCATCAAAAAGAAAAACCTCTTGCCATTTGCAATGACATGGATGGAACTGGAAAGTATTATGCTAAGCAAAATAAATTAGTCAGAGAAAGAAAAATACCATATGATTTCATTCAAATGTGGAATTTAAGAAACAAAATAGAATAACATAGGGGAAGGGAAGAAAAAATAAAATAATATGAAAACAGAGAGGGAGGCAAACCATGAGACTCTTTCTTTTTTTTTTCTTTTTTTTTTTTTTTAGATTTTTTTTATTTATTGATTTGACAGAGAGAGAGATCACAAATAGACAGAGAGGCAGGCAGAGAGAGAGAGAGAGGGAAGCAGGCTCCCTGCTGAGCAGAGAGTCTGATGCGGGACTCGATCCCAGGACCCTGGGATCATGACCCGAGCCGAAGGCAGCGGCTTAACCCACTGAGCCACCCAGGCGCCCCGAGACTCTTTCTTTTAATTATTTACTTATTTGAAAGAGAGAGCCAGTGAGCACAAGTTGGGGAAGGGGCAGAAGGAGAGGGAGAAGCAGACTCCCTGATGAGTGGGGAGCCTGATGTAGGGCTGGATCCCAGGACCCTGGAATCATGACCTGAACTGAAGGCAAATGCTTGATTGACTGAGCCACCCAGGGACACCCCCACACACACCCCATAGGAGCCTCTTAACTCTAGGAAACAAACTGTGGGTTCCTGGAGGGGAAGTGGGGGGGAGGGGTAACTGGCTCATGGACATTAAGGAGGGCACTTGGTGTAATGAGCATAGGGGTGTTATATGCAACAGTTATGTGCAACTGATGTTATATGCAACAGTCTACCCCTGAAATTAATTATACACTATATGTTAACTAAATGGAATTTAAATAACAAATTGTTTAAAAATATATTCCAAAAATTTAAGTAGTCCTTTGTAATAATACATTAAACTTAAAAACATGGCATTAACAAAATACTTACAGAAATAATTATTGATTTTAATAATCCAATTGAGTCAATTAATAATTTGAAAACTGTATACCATACATATTTTTCACTCTGACTAGCCTACATGAAAATCCAACAAGGCTGACAACACAGGTTAGAATGTCCACATTCTAAAATATTTCAACTTTTCAAAATAAGTGAAATTCCTTTTATTTTGGAAAGTTAACTAGCCAAGCAGTTTCAAAGTAGAGTTACATGTCCATTCATACTATATCATAGTAGTAAAATAACTTTTTCTTTGTGTGTTTTCTGTTTTTGAACATATGCCTTTCAAAAATATGCTTGCACTTTTAAATTAATACATTTCAAAAACACTCATATCTCCTGAAATATAAAATATGGGAGTAACTTTAGTAACCACTACAAGTAAATTAATACATGTTGTATTAGAGGCTATCATTATCAAGGATTTTATGACATAAACAGTGTTGATTTTTTATTTCACACTTCTAAAATATTTATTAGTCTTACCTTTAGTGCATATGGCCATCGTTTTAGAAATGGCACATATCTTTCCAATAAAATGCAGATATTTTAATGATGCAAAATTTTTACATGTTTTGTGAAATGAATATTTGCATATTTGCATTATGTTTCTATCACATTTTACTCTTATTTGAAAATTCTTTTTCCCTCC